AATGCAGAATATCTGTATTTATGGTGTGTGTGTGTATTTGATATTCTATATACAACATTAGCATATCAGCAATATAGATACAGTGGAAATTAGTTTAATGTGAATGTAAAATATCTGTTTTTATGGTGTGTGGGTGTGTGTGTGTATTTGATATCCTATATACAGTTTTAACATATCAGCAATATGGATAGAGTGCAGATTAGTTTAATGTAAATGTAGAATGTTTGTCATTTATGGTGTATGTGTGTATTTAATATTTTATATACAACATTGGCATATCAGCAATATAGATACAGTACAAATTAGTTGAATGTAAATGCAGAATATCTGTCTTTTATGGTGTGTGTGTGTAATGCACATCAGTAAGTTGTAAGTGAAGTTGACTGCGTGCCTTGTAACCAGGTTTACAGTCGAGCCTTGTACTAAGAAGAGCACAAAATCCAAAGGAATGCGAGCAGGAATCCCTAGCTGTGTGCCATCAGTAAGTGGAAACATGACCAGTACATTGAAAATCATAGTCAGAAATCCTTCTGGGAAATCTGCATGCAGAGACTGGTCATGCTTCAAATGTGTGCCATACCATTTAGATTTGGCAAAGTACATCCAGATCCAATAAAACGTGCATTATTAAACAGTCAGAGGAAATGGACTTGCTGTATTACTTATTAAAACAGCCAAATATGTTTCAATTTTCCAGGATGGACTCAGCACCAGCTTCCCATAGCATTGCACAGAGGATGGCTTGCTGCCTCCCCCAAACAGGCAGGAAAATAATAGGACATCTCAGAGCTATCATGAAGACCCCAAGTAAGTTTCAAATATGCCCTGGTGGAGGCTCAGAGGGGACCATATATTTCTGGAGCTTTGTTTGCCAGTTAACTTGTACCAACACAAATCACTGACATAACACACCCGCCACTAGAATGTGCTTAATCCCGCTCGCTGGCCATTCATTTGGAGCTCCTAGAATTCATATTTGACGGCTCTCTCATTGTAACATCCACCCCTGACCCCGTTTGACTGCATTGTCACATTACTCTATGACATATTCATCTGGAATTCATTTACGGACGATTTGATTGGAATGAGGTTTGACATGTATTGGATCTTATTAAAAAAGAACACTTTGATCTTGCTGATGGGGTTTACATGATATGTACCATCCTTACTAGAGATACCATGCTTTCACAATGTGGTGGCTACCAGGTCTCCCCACAATGAGCCCTGAGCAGTGGCTGGTGACTGACGCCTCATTTGACAGATATACCTTAATCTGAAAGCTGATCTGTCACCAGACTCTATGCAAAGGAGTCCTGATCGCCCACCTACCATTCCCTAAGGGTCTATCTTAGCGTCACTAACGCAATTTACAGCGCAAAACACAGCTGTGTGCCGCAAACACAAGGTGCTGATAGTTAAAATATTCAGAGCACTTCAAATTGCCATGTATGTCTCTCTCTATACTCTATTGTATTAGATCTGCACTCAAATAGATAGAAACTTATTTAAAGCTGTAACAAAGTGCATACAATTAAGCAACTGGAATAGCAGCCCCAACTATAGTAAAAAACGTTTCTGAGCAAGCAAAAGTATCTAAACTGTATCTTTTATATATATATATATATATATATATATATATATATATATATATATATATATATGTGTGTGTGTGTGTGTGTGTGTGTGTGTATATGTATATGTGTATATATATATATATATATATATATATATATATATATCACATTTATTATAAGAATTCTGGAAACACTGAAACGATAATGTAATGATGTATATGTGCAACATGTGGATGTGGAACATAGATATAAGGTATACTGCATACATAAACAACAAACACAGATTAATGGAAGTGTGTGTGTGTGTGCCCAATATTATCTAGTGGTGCCAGAAATTTGCTTTATGTTTTTATTGTTACATGATGATGTTTGCATATTTTGTTGGTGTGTTGCTGTTGATAAAAAAAAATTCACACATTCTGTATAAGAGAACAGACCACTAGCCCAGCTGTTTTGTGTCTCCACTGAGCAGTCATATAGAAGAGGCCCTGGCCCATGCACAGACCGATCTATGAAATCCCCAGGCTTGCAGCAGGCCACATTATAATTAGGTAAGCTATCTGTCCGCATGCTGAATCTACAAGTTACCTCGACCAAGTTGACTAACACTGGTTTCCAGGCTTCGAGGTTACCACTGCCATGATTATGAATGCCATCCTCTTTAATTTGTTATCTGCATCATGTAAAATGTAACATACCATATTTCCCATGCTCATTCCAATAAAGAGGAGAAGCTGTTCTGCATCTCACCACCGTTCTTGTGTGTGCTATTCTCTATGTATATCTAATGTCTCATGTGAACTGTAAACACAGATGACCCTTTTTAAAATGAAGAAATCCCATTGCTGAATGGCTATTCCTTTTATCCTTTTAATTATCCCTGATGACAAATCTGAAATGAATTCATCAACAGAAGGATGTTTTATATATTGGTATTGATCAACTGGGAGGTGTCAACATTTCCTGTTATCTATGTATTTATTTATCGATTTGTCAATAATGTACAATTTGGCTCAAAGAAAAGGAATAATTGTCAGCCTATGTATTCGCATTTCCACATTTCCAGCCAAGACATAGGTAGGTATACCACATTTTGTGTAAGTAAGATGCAGACTAGAGACCGAATCTGCCCCTTTGTTGCCAAAGTTTAGTTCAAGCAACAAGATCCGAACTAAGAAACACGTTTGCAAAGTGTTTCTTTTATATATATATATATATATATATATATATATATATATATATATATATATATATATATATATATATATATATCTAAAGCCAATTGAGCTGGTGCCTATGTTTGATCATTTGTAAATGAGCAATAATTGGCAGATTTGAGTACCTACTTGTACTTCGATACCTCCACAGTTAAAGGGGCTATATAACATGCTTACATAAATAAATCAATCATTAGTAAATACATGCAGATTGTCTAATGTGGCCAATTTGAAGGAGAGCACGAGTTTGTATAGTCTACAGAAACATAGACATACACACATCACTATGTAGTCAAAATCTTTATAATCTTCTGGAGAGGTAAGCTTTGTTTTTTTGGTTTTTTTTTTTTTGTCCATTATATTGTGATCCTTAATTGTAGCAGATGAAGCGATATATGATATTTTATGTCTATTCTGAAATCTATTGTCCAGGTAAGTAGTGACACCTGAAAGGGTCCAGTAAATGTATTGCAATGTATAAACAACTTCAACACTTTTTTTTTAATTATCAAATTGGGGATGAAAAGTTCTAGCGTACCATACATTTTCACATTTGAAAATTCAGCAAATGTCAGCGTAGTACATTGATGGTATTAGTTATCATTTGATACATTGAAATCATAGAACTCAATATTGCAGGACAGAAGGATATATCTATCTATATAAAAATAAATATATAAAAATCAAAATATATACATATTAATATTATTATACAGGATCTATTTAGCTCCAACAGTTTGCTCAGCGCTTTACAAAATGAAATTACAGTTACAATACAATTTGGTACAAAAGTAAACAGAGTACCACGCTCGTTAGAGCTTACAATATATATATATATATATATATATATATATATATATATATATATATATATATTATATTATAAAATTTATTTTATATGTATTATTTAATTTTATTTATATATTTATTTTTGTTGCAAGTGATAACACAAACACTGGTCCACTATCTCCATCTAGTACTTCATATTAAAAAAAGAATTTGCATGCATAATATTTCGCTTGTTATAAAAAAAAATAATAAAATATAGTAAAATTCAAGATCTCTGTATACCTCCATATTTTGGAAATGAATGCTTTCTAACAGTTTAAAGAAAACAATGACAGCTGCTGGTAAGTCACATCAAACAATAGCCTTGGCATCCACATAGAATTGGCACAGAATCTTAAAATGTACATTAGCAAAAAAAATAAAAAAATAAGCAAAAGTAGTTTAGTTGTGCCTAGTAAAAATATTTTCTTCTACGTTTTTAGCTATCAAATTTTGGTCCGTTTGAACAACAAAAAAAAAAAAAAAAGAAAAGAAAAAAGCGTGTCTGAAAACACCAGGCAACAGTGTTGTTTGTGAGAGGGGGGAGCAAGGCATGGTGCCCAGCTGTGCGCAGGCGCAGTCCCGAGTCCCCCCCCCCTCCTAATCCATTCAGTCTCCAGCAGGACCTGTCAGTGGTGACGTCAATCATGTGGAGATAGCCAATCATAGAGAGCGGTTATTGTTGAGCTCTCTGGGCAGTAGCAGTGTCTGTGAATCTCTATTCAGTGCCTCAATGCTTCCTGCTGCTGCTTCTCAAGCGTAGGGGATTCCACTTAGACATAAAAGAAAAAAAAAAACTTGAAAAAACTTTTGGGAAAAAAAAAGTTTTTATTTTATTCTTTTCCCACACAGACAGGTGATTGTAGAATTAGCTGCAATAAGTGTGGAGGCTTTGGGGAACACAGTGATGGACCCTGCATTCTCCAAACGGAACCCGGCGCTGAGAATAGTAGACTTGGCAGGGGCTCATCATCATCATCACCATCATCATCATCATCCTCCTCCTCACCACCACCACCCCCCTCAGACTATGACAGGCTTCCCGGGGTACGTGGGTCATTCCCACTCAATGGCTCATGTGCACCCTGGGGAGTATGCTGCTGATTCTCGCCTAGGGCCAAGTCCTGCATTCCGGCCAGAACACATGGGGCACCATCCAGCGGCCCTCAAACTCAGCCCTGCCCATAACCACCAGCACCACCACCATCACCACCACCAGCAGCAGCACCACCACCACCATCATATGGCAGGCCAGGCTGAGGCTGCCTCCAGTCCACCAGGAGCATTTGTCCCGGCTCCCTCAGCAGCTGTCTCCTACACAGCTCAGTCTATCCCTGCAGGTAGGGACTTTCTAATAGGTAGGGATCTGACAGTTCAAGTGATGCCAGGGCTGAGTGATCAACACTCTGCGGCAACCTCTCACCATGGCATGTTTGTCTCAACGACAGGTAGCTACCCTGGGCAGCATGGCCACCACGCGGAGCCTGGAAACCATCCCTACTTCTCTGGACCTCATCATGAGCACCATTCCCATGCAACCCCAGGTGGCCAGCCTCTAAAACGGACAGATAAGATTGGGGCTACCTGGAGATATGTACAGCAGCAGGTCTGATCATTTCACTCAATCAGTGTCTAGGACAGATCCTTTCTCCTCCGCTTCTCTTCAAGGCTACGCTGGCATGAACTTGAATATGAACCTAGCTCCTCACCACGGACCAGGAGCCTTCTTCCGATACATGAGGCAGGCGATCAAACAAGAACTCATCTGCAAGTGGATAGAAGAGGAGCAACTGCCCAAAAAACTTTGCTCCAAAACTTTCAGCACCATGCACGAGCTGGTCACCCATGTCACGGTGGAGCACGTTGGAGGACCCGAGCAGTCCAGCCACATCTGCTTCTGGGAGGAGTGCGCTAGAGAAGGCAAGCCTTTCAAAGCCAAATACAAACTGGTCAACCACATCAGAGTCCACACGGGGGAAAAACCCTTCCCCTGCCCCTTCCCTGGCTGTGGGAAAGTCTTTGCCAGGTCAGAAAACCTGAAAATCCACAAAAGGACTCATACAGGTCAGTAGCAGCCTCTCCTATCTATGCATGCGATTCTCAGCTTTTGATATATTAGAGACACTTTACTTTTAGTGCCACATTGCATCGCCTTTTACTACGCGCAGCTTTAAGTGGCCATATAAATAAATTGATTATAATCCCCAGAGATGCTTTATGACCGCTTCCATCTTGTGACCTGATTGATTTAAAGCTCTGGGGATTGGAAATGAATCAAGCTAGGGGGGGAAAAGGGAGTAAATACATTCGTACACGTGGTTGTAAACTTTCATTCAGCCTAATTAATATTTATGAAAAAAAAAAAAATCTAAGCAATTTATACCAGCATCACAAATGGGATTTTATGGTCAAGATAAACTATTAAATATGGATTACTGGGGCGGTGAGAGCTGAACATATTCAGTTAGAATTCAGTCTGACAACTGTCTTATTCCTCTGTGTCTGTGATATAAATAGAAAGGACATTTTCTGGGTATTGCTGTGCTTTAGGGAGGCTTCATATTATCTAAGAGACATTTGTTTATATATATTAGTATAGTGTATAATGTTATATATAGTATAGTGTCTATAAATAGACACTGTGTGTAGGTAGATAGGTAGGTCTCTCCCTCGAGAGAGAGAGAGAGAAAAGTAGTGCGTATATATATGTGTGTTTACTTTTATACATATATTTAGAGAGAGTATATAAAGTAGTGTATATATATATATGTTGTGTGTGTGTGTTTACCTTTATACATATATGTAGAGAGAGTATATACGTAGTATATATATATATATATATATATATAGTATATATATATATAATATATATATATATATGTGTGTGCGTTTATACTTTTGTACCTTTATATTTAGAGAGAGAGAGTTATATAAGTGCACACACACATCTATCGATCTATCTATCTATCTATCTATCTATCTATCTATCTATCTATTTAGATATATATATATATATATATATATATATATATATATATATATATATATATATATATATAGTGAGAGAGAGTATATAAGTAGTGTGTGTGTATCTATATATAGCTATAAGTATATAGATATATATATATAGAGAGAAAAAGAGAATGAGAGTGTTTACATATATATATATATATATATATATATATATAAAAAAATTCTTTACATTTTTTTCTTTTTGCAATGTCTTTTGTAACTTTTATTGCCATCACTTTTCTAACGATGCCCCCCCCCCCCACACACACACACACACACACTTGTATGTAATATTTCCAGTACTTTACCCCATTCATCAGGGCTAGAACTTCACCTATACACGTGTTTCCAGCTCATCTTGAAGCCCTCGGCGTTTCTCTCTCTTGTTTTTCCTCATCTGATCGCTTTGCATTCCATCCCATTTATAAGAAATGACAAATTCGCAGTTTTGCTGCTAGTTGTGAACAGGTGCTATGCATCTTGGAGAACATGTTGCCTTTGATGACAGGCTGTCTCCTAAGTAAACAAACTTTCTCCGCTCATCTCCTCTTCTGGAGTTTGCCATGCAGACATCACCATCCTCCAAAGCAAATCTGAGCAGCAAACTCCAGGCTCTGGGGGCAGAATATGGGGAGTTTTTGCTTTATTGTTATACACAGATGCAAGTTTTATCTCTCTGGTGATGAATTAGCCTGCGTTATAATCCTGCAGGCTCTTTACAACCCTCATTTTCTTTTCAGCGTTTAGAAGTGCTGGGGAATAAAGAAGGAAGTGGGATTGTGCTTTTAATTTGTTGCAAATGATTCAGGAAACAGTTACAAACGTTCACTAGAAAGAGAGGAAAGTGCAGATTTCCCTCCATTTCTCTCCAGTAAAAAAAAACTATCTGGACAAAAAAATAAAAAAAAAAAAAAATAAATAAACTAAAAATAATAATAATAATAAATATATATATACGAAGATTTTTATATATATATATATATATATATATATATATATATATATATATATATATAATTGTGTGTGTGTGTGTGTCCAATTCCTATATAGATATTACAATATAGCAATATATGTACATGTATGCATGATCCTATCTCTATTAAGTTAGTGCAGTTTATATACATATATGTATAATCCTATCTCTGTAGGGAAATTACAGTATATGTACATATCTGTGTGATCCTATCTCTATAGGGATATTGCAGTATATGTACATATATGTGTGATCCTATCTATATAGGGATATTTATAGTATATGTACATATCTGTGTGATCCTATCTCTATAGGGATATTGCAGTATATGTACATATATGTGTGATCCTATCTCTATAGGGATATTGCAGTATATGTACATATATGTGTGATCCTATCTCTATAGGGATATTGCAGTATATGTACATATATGTGTGATCCTATCTCTATAGGGATAATACAGTATATGTACATATATGTGTGATCCTATCTATATAGGGATATTATAGTATAGGTACATATATGTGTGATCCTTTCTCTATAGGGATATTATAGTATAGGTACATATATGTGTGATCCTATCTCTATAGGGATATTATAGTATAGGTACATATATGTGTGATCCTATCTCTATACGGATATTACAGTATATGTACATATATGTGTGATCATTTCTCTATAGGGATATTATGGTATAGGTACATATATGTGTGATCCTATGTTTATAGGGATATTACAGTATAGGTACATATATGTATGATCCTATTTCTATAGAGATATTAAAGTGTATGTACATATAAGTGTGATTCTATCTCTTTAGGGATATTACAGTATAGGTACACATATGTATGATCCTATCTCTATAGGGATATTACAGTATATGTACATATATGTGTGATCCTATCTCTATAGGGATATTACAGTATATGTACATATATGTGTGATCCTATCTCTATAGGGATATTATGGTATAGGTATATATATGTATGATCCTATGTCTATAGGGAACTTACAGTATAAGAAACATATATGTATGATCCTATCTCTATAGGAATATTACAGTATATATGTATATATATGTATGATCATATCTCTATATAAACACTACAATGTATATATGTACATTTATGCATGATCCTATCTCTATAAAGATATTACAATATTATTATGTACATAATTATATAAAAAGATGTTACAGTTTATGTATATAGATATGATCATATATCTATACAAATATTACAATGTATATATGTGCATGTATGTATGACCACACTTTTAAAAAAATATGTTACAATATATGATTGTGTACATATATGTATGATCACATCTCATAAAGATATTACAATATATGATTGTGGACATATATGTATGATCATATTACCATAAAGCTATTAAAATGTATGTGATAGTATATATATTTATGATCACATCTCATAAAGATATTACAATATATGACTGTGTACATATATGTATGATCATATTACCATAAAGTCATTAAATATATGTGTAAGTACATATACATATATCACATCTCCATCAAGATATTGCAGTATATGATTGTGTATTTCTCTGTACATAAAGGACAAGTTATGATGTTTCTCTCTCTCTGACATTATAGGGATGAATCCCTCTGAGTGAAGTTGAAGGAATGTTTTCCTTTGAACTTCTTTGCTTCCCCCCCCCCCCCCCCCCCTCGCAAACTTTTCGCCTTTTTAGAAGATCCCAGTCCCTGATCGCTTATTTGTAGCTGACAAGTGTTTCCTGTTTTCTTATTTGTCTTGCAATCTTCTCTCCCTCAGCATTAGTTATCATTTAATAGCTCTATTGAATATTAAAGCATGCTGACAAGGAAAGCTTAGTGTTTACTGCTGGTAAGTGGAATGTCACCAGCACAGACAGCAGTGCTGAATGGGATGGGGTATTTCTGGGCAGACACTGTTGTGGCGAGATATTAAAATACTCTTCACAATCTCACACATTAACGTGGATGATTTTCCCATGAGATTCTCAAGTTAGAGCCGGGATATCATTTTATAATATGCTTGACTGGTATTTAAGCAGAGCAGATGGAGATCAGCTCAGCGTTTAGCCTGCCAGTCTGTGTAGACTGGAGGTTGGAGCATTGTGTGCAGGGATGGGGATGTCACTACACCAGGGCTGTGTGGGAAATGGCTGCAGCTCAAAATGTACTGTCTGAATCATGGGGAAGCTAGGAGTTATTACACATTGCCAGACACAGCAAAATAAATACAGGGAAAAGCCAGGCCTAGCACACAAACAAGCCAAGCTAGGCCACGTGTGTTGTATCAGAGAATAGGCTCCATTCACAAAGCACTGGGATAAGGATGCTTATTTTCAGAGTGACAGTTGTTTTAAGTGAAGGCCAATGAGATTTTTAAATTACAGTCACGTGGCTGACATAAAGATCTTATCTTTGTTCTACATCATAGTTATGAGAATTGAGCCTAATTCAGCTCAGGTGGGAGCTATTTTATTCTAGTCTCTACTGGCTTCAAATATACTATCACATTAAAAAATAAAGAAATAAATGTTACATTAATCTGTATTATTGAAGGGAGCACAGCCTATAGAAATTCTGTCTTTAGTAAAATCGGTCCCATCAACTGATGTTTATTTTTACTTATAACAACCAGTCAGATTCCCACTGTCAATGCAGAGCTGACAGTTCTAAAAGCTTTTTGATTGGTGGTTGTGTACAATAAGGCATCTTTTTTTCTAGCACACTTTGTATAAATAATAATCATAATAATAATAAGCCATAAAGAGTTTAGGGATGTCTCTGTGGATCCTGTTAGTAGCACATGACAATATACAGAGTCAGTTAAAATTTGGGACCCCAAGAGGGTTCTACATCCAAACCAGGACCCTTCCTTCTGCTTGTGCTGAAGCTGTAATGCTCCAAGTACTGTCCAAGGAGTCTTAAAGTCTATTATCCATGCACACTGGCTTAAAAATTGCTGCTTCTTCACGAGTATGTTTCGCCTGTAGAAGCAGCTCAGTGTTATCCTATGTGTCCATGTACATTAGGATGATTAAAGTCATATTTTAAGCTCAGAGTTTGGATGCAGGAAAAAAAAAAAACCTTGCGTTTATTGAATGGAGCTTTCTGGCAGAAAAAATGCTAACGCTCCAAAAACTCGCCTAAATGCTAATCAGCATTTTTTTTCTGCCAAGGGAACTGGCGTTTTTTTTTTTAAGCCCAGTGTGCATGGAGCTGTAAATGTTGGCCAGCCAGAGATCCTGGTTTCCCTTCAATCAGGCAGTGTTGGTAGGAGGCATTAAGGATAAATGTCTCCTTTATTCAGTGAGCCAATAGTAAATCCGTCCCTTGTGTAACAACAGAGGAGGTTTAAATATGATTTTTGTGCAGTGCTAGTGACCCCTGCATTGGTAATACGGTTATGTGCCTTCCCTCTGAGAATACAGTACAAGTTCATCTAATAAAACCATGCAAGGAGCAATGATGATAAATAACCTTTGGTAACTATCCACCCAACCAGGACCATTGAACAATGATTTCTGATGGGGTCATAGGCTTCCAACACTTTTGAAAATAAATAAATAAATGTGGTAGAGATAAGTAATACAGATTGCAAGTTCAGAACGTCACAATTATCAGCTTTAGGACTTAAAGGGCTTCACAAAAAATGCTTCATATTTATGAATGTGAAATCCACTGGTGGAGAGTGCAGAAGTGTGCAGAATATGCCAATCTCCTCTCCCCCACTTCCCAGAAAGAGACCCCTAAACTGGTGTAAACTGCATTGTTACATAGTTAGTCTGACTGAAAAAAAGACAAAAGCCCATCCAGTTCAACCATTAAAAAAATAAGAAAAAAAAAGTTATAATCCTACACCCACACTTGATCCAGAGGAAGGAAAAAAAAACCCAGCAAAGCATGATCCAATTTGCTCCAGCAGGGGAAAAAATTCCTTCCTGATCCCCCGAGAGGCAATTGGATATTCCCTGGATCAACTCTACTTACAAATGTTGGTATCCAATTTATATTCTGTGTATCCAAGAAAGAACCCAGGCCTTTTTTACAGCAATCCACTGAGCTGGCCAGAACCAACTCTATTCCACATTTTCACAGCTCTTACTGTGAAGAAACCTTGTGGTTGCTGTAGGTTACTGTTTCTAGGCACTAGGCAGTGCAGTCTACCTGTATGGTACCCCCACACTACAACCTGCACATGAGACATTCAGAGCATGGGGCAGGAAACATAACATTGGTCATTTGAATGTACTTGCCTCTGATCACAAAGTCATTTGGAAGCTATAATTGGGTATTATTCACTAAAACCAGAAAAAAAAAAGAACACAAAACTAGAGTTGTTTATAGCAACCAACCAGATTTCCATACCTGACTGTTATTAGTAACAACACTTGCTTTGTGCTAATGTTCCTCTTCCCAATTGTAATAATCTCCTTCTGCTCATGGAGGTATGATTTGATAAGTCTGTTAGAATCACCATTAGTGTTGGTAGTACATGCTGATATCATATGTTATCTGCTAATTACGTCATTCTTTTAATGCAGTTCTGGAAATGGACGAATGTAACCGTTAATATTGTGTGTGTGTGTGTGTGTGTGTGTGTGTGTGTGTGTGTGAGCTAAGCATTTTTTAGGCATTTTTTGGCGTTTTTTTAGCAGATCTGCAAATATTATAGGCGTTTTTTTCAGGCATTTTTGCTGTGGCCAATAGAAATGAGATATAGCTGCTGTTTTAGCTTAAAACGCCTGAAAAAAACGCTCACCCTCACTGTGCAGGCATTTTCCATTCAAGTCTATAGGGACATCTGCCTGAAAAGTAGCGCAAGTACTTTTTTGAAAGACAGGTATTTTGCTATAGGAGACAGAACGCTCCAGTGCGAACAGGGGCCATTGGAAATAATGGGATTTTTACTTGTTGAGCATTTTTGAGTGTTGAGGTGAAAAACGGTCAAGTGTGAACAGGATCTAAATGTTTTTCAGGCAGTTTTTCAAATGTTTTTTTGTTCATGCGTTTTTGAGCGTTTTTTTTTTTTTTAGCAGATTTGTAAATATATGCGTTTTTTCAGGCATTTTTCATTTAGGCATTTTTGCTGTGGTCAATAGAAATAGCTGCTGTTTGAGCTTGAAACGCCTGAAAAAAAAAAAAACGCTTGAAACAATGCTCATTCTCACTGTTTAGTTGTTTTCCACTCAAGTCTATGGGGACAAAACGGTCACATCTGCCCAAAAAGTAGCACAAGTACTTTTTTGAGCAACAGGCATTTTTCTACAGGTGACAAAACACTGCAGTGTGAACAGGGGCCATTGGAAATAATGGGATTTTACTTGTTGAGGGTTTCTGAGCGTCCAGCTTTGAGCTGAAAAACGCTCAAGTGTGAATGGGGTCTAAAGAAAAGTGTGACCAATGTAGCAAGCTAGAGAACTGATGCTAAATAAAGGATGAGTAAGAATGATGCTTGTTTCAGTGGCTCATGTACGCTGATTGAGATTCTTGAAATTCTTACATGCTGTGCTTTGTCTTTTAGGGGAGAAACCCTTTAAGTGCGAGTTTGAAGGCTGCGACAGACGCTTTGCCAACAGCAGCGACAGAAAGAAAACATTCCCACGTCCACACCAGCGACAAACCGTATAACTGTAAAGTGAGAGGCTGCGACAAATCGTACACCCATCCCAGCTCATTGAGGAAACATATGAAAGTGCACTGCAAATCTCCACCTCCCAGCTCAGGCTATGAATCCTCCATCCCATCCCTGGTGTCCCCATCTTCTGATTCAGGACAGGACCCTGCTGCCACCTCCTCCCACACTGAGCGCCTGTCCTCCTCCACCCAGGCCAACCTGAGTGAATGGTATGTGTGCCAAGGCTCAGGGGCAAGTGGCATCCCTACCCCCCCTAGCCACACTCCTTCCCCTGAGCATCGAAAGGCTTCCTACAATAACTGTGACTCTAGGCCCAATTACTAGGACTCCTCTCAGCCCAATGCAACTTGCTGATGAGAAATACTGTGTTTTCTAATGACTGCAGAGATCGCCCTTGTCTGTGCCTGTTATGGAGTAGGGAGTGGGCTAATGAATGGGACTGGTGGCTAGCATCAATGCACGTGGGACCTGGACACAAATTCAAAGCTATATGTGTGTGAGTGTCTGTTAAAACTTTGGACAAATAAAATTCTACCCATCCCGTGTTTAATCAGAAAGCCCAATATTGAGCATTTGCTGCCCTCTCTGATTATCGATCACCCTTCAGGATAAACCGTATGAATGAGCCAAAGTCCTTGTATTGAAGGTTCCCAAACGCTGCCCACTGCTGTCTGCCATGCACCCTCCCACGGTGTTCCGAGATCTTTGTTAGCTGCAGTGCTAGTGCTTTTTTAAACTTTGTCCTTCTTTTGTTACTGCTTTGTATAAAAGAACAACGAAAGTATTTTATTAGTTGTCATGGTCAGTCTAATGTATATACAGAGCGATCAGATGGCTGCAGGCTGGTGTATAGATTTCTTCTTTTTATTTTTATTTGGGATGCAAAGGGACCAAACCTGACCGCATGGACTGTTCTATAGAAGGTGTCATTATTTTATTATAAAAGCGGTGTTCACGGTGATGTTATACATTCGGTATTGTACAGACAGAGTTATCACATGTTTGTGACGTCTTACTGATTTTTCAAAAGAGGGGCGACTTGCAAGAACATATTTCATGTACTGTAAAATAAACTTTTTTTTTGTACCAAGGAAATCTGAATTGGTGCTTTCTCTTAAGTCAGACTGTGATATACTATGCAATGGGGTATACTATGTAGTATATTATAGGTGCATTCTTTTGCTGTGGTATACTATGTAGTATATTATAGGGGCATTCTTTTGCTGTGGTATACTATGTAGTATATTATAGGTGCATTCTTTTGCTGTGGTATACTATGTAGTATATTATAGGTGCATTCTTTTGCTGTGGTATACTATGTAGTATATTATAGGTGCATTCCTTTGCTGTGGTATACTATGTAGTATATTATAGGTGCATTCTTTTGCTGTGGTATACTATGTAGTATATTATAGGTGCATTCTTTTGCTGTGGTATACTATGTAGTATATTATAGGTGCATTCTTTTGCATTCTTTTGCTGTGGTATACTATGTAGTATATTATAGGTGCATTCTTTTACTGTGGTATACTATGTGGTATATTATTGGTGCATTTTTTTTTACTGTGGTATACTATGCAGTATATTATAGGTGCATTCTTTTGCTATGGTATACTATGTGGTATATTATTGGTGCATTTTGTTACTGTGGTATACTATGTGGTATATTATTGGTGCTTTATTTTACTGTGGTATACTATGTAGTATATTATTGGTGCATTCTTTTACTATGGTATACTATGGAGTATATTATTGGTACATTTTGTTACTGTGGTATACTATGTGGTATATTATTGGTGCTTACTTTTACTGTGGTATACTATTTAGTATATTATTGTTGAATTCTTCTACTGTGGTATACTATGTGTTATATTATTGGTGTATTATTTTACTGTGGTATACTATGTAGTATATTATTGGTGTATTATTTTACTGTGGTATACTATGTAGTATATTATTGATGTATTCTTTTACTGTGGTATATTATTGGTGTATTCTTTTAAGTCAAATTGTGGCATACTATGCACTGTGGTATACCGTATGGTATATATTTGGTGCTTTCTTTTATGTCAGACTGTAATATACTATACACTGTGGTACACTACGAGGTATACTGTTGGTGCTTTCTTTTAAGCCAAACTGTGGCATATTATGCACTGTGGTATACTGTGTGCTATACTATTGATGCTTTCTCGTAAGTCTGGTTGTAATATATTATGCACTGTGGTATACTATGTGGTATATTATTAGTGAATTCTTTTAAGTCAAACGGTGGCATATTATGCACTGTGGCATATTGTGTGGTATTCTATTGGTGCTTTCTCACAAGTCAGACTGTAATATACTATTCACTGTGGTATACTACCTGGTATATTATTTGTGCATTCTTTTAAGGTAAACTGTGGTATAATATGTGGTATACTTATGGTGGTTTATCTTAAAGTCAAACTGACATACCATGCACTGTGGTATACTGTGTGGTGTGGTATACTATTGGTGGTTTCTCTCACAGTCCAACTGTGGTATACTGTGCAATTGGGTATACTATGTGGTATACTATTGGTGCATTCCCCTAAAGTACAACTATATTATACTTTGCACTTACACTATGACGTATTTTATTGGTGCTTTCTCTTAAAGTCAAACTGTGCTATACAATGCACTGTGGTCTATTATTAGTGCTTCCTCTTAAAGTCAAACTGTGGTGTACTATGCACTGTGGTATATTATGTAATATACTATTAGTGCTTTCTCTTAAAGTCAAACTGTAGTATACTATGCACTGTGGTGTATTTTGTGGTTCACTATTAGTACCATCTGTTAAAGTCAAACTGTAGTATACTATGCGCTGTGGTGTATTTTGTGGTATCACTATTAGTACCATCTGTTAAAGTCAAACTGTAGTATACTATACACTGTAGTATATTTTGTAGTATACTATTAGAGCTTTCTCTTAAAGTCAAACTGTAGTATACTATGTACTGTAGTATATTATGTAGTATACTATTAGAGCTTTCTCCTAAAGTCAAACTGTAGTATACTATGCACTGTAGTATATCATTTAGTATACTATTAGAGCTTTCTCTTAAAGTCTTAAAGTCAAACTGTAGTATACTATGCACTGTGTTATATTATGTTGTGTACTATTGCTTTCTCTTAAGTCAGACAAGTGGTATAATATGCACTGGAGTGTATAGAGAACCTACTCTCAAATGTTAATATAAAGCTACATTTGGCAGGAGGGGGTAAATAAATGACAATAAAAGGGCTGAATGCTTGCCTTTCCTGGAGAATTCCAGGGGGAAATGATATATCAACTCATGAAATCATGGATTTGTGTTAAAGTCAGAACATAGGTGCCCACTATTCCCAATCCTTTATTCCAAAAAGAGTTTAATGCTCTAATAACATACCTGATCCCCCGTTTAGCTTTGAACCACATGTACTTCTTCTATGTTAACAACCATTTGATTGTGGGTGAGACATTGGGGCTGATTTACTAAAAGTGGAGCTTGCAAAATCTGGTGCAGCTCTACATAGAAACCAATCAGCTTCCATGTTTTTTTTTTGTCAAAGTTTAATCAAACAAGCTGAGGTTAGAAGCTGATTAGCTACCATACACCAGATTCTGAGTGCACTAGTTTTAGTAAATCAGCCCCTAATGCAGACCATACATGGGTCAAATTCCGAACAAATTTTCTTTAGAAAATCAGAAATTTTGAAGTTTTGTAATCCATTGGTACCACCATTGATTTCAAAATTCGACCAACCAAGCCTTTAATTTCACCTCAGGTTGCTACAGAAAATAATTTTCGTGGCCAAGAATTTTCTTTTCTTTCCAGGTCACAATTCATGCTCATTTCTTTTTCAATTATATTTTTTGCACTATCTCCCATCATAGATTAGAATTTTATTCGGTTTTCAAAAAATTTCCAACATGCCCGATTACTCAAATTCGATGGTCGCATGAAAATTGGCTGTTGATGTCACCCACTAATGGTACAAAATTTGAATGAAAATTCTTAGAAACGACTTTCAAAAGAAAATTCTTCTGGAATTCGACCCATCTATGGCCAGCTTAAGGCTGGCCATATATTATACAAATTTCCTTTAGATTTACCAAATAGCATATAATATGATGTCAAATCTAAACACTTTCAATTGTATTCAATTAGGCAAGCTCTTGCACTACATACTTGATGTGTAAATCTAAAGGAAATTGTACAGAAATTTGTAAGAAAATGGTATAATGTATGGCCAGCCTTATGTGGCCCACTAATGGTTGCAAAAATTCTTAGAAAAGATTTTCGAAAGAAAATTCTTTTGGAATTCGACCCATATATGGCCGGATTAAGTAAAGGAAAAAGGCGACACCATTCAATGGGATCACAATTCTTTGTGGGCAGGAAAACATCTACATATTAACAGATTTTTATAGAATAGGCTTGAAGTAAATGAGTAATATTTCCACTGACCTTATAAAACTGGTGCTGATTTTTCTGCATCTAAGGGGAAATAAAAAAAAATAACATGGTACCTTAAACTAATCTGCATTAAATGAAATCCCTAAACCCAATTAGATGTTATAGCCAGGGTTCTGAGTTGCTGAGATGTTTGACCCACATATTTCTCTACATGTCTTGGTGGGTTTTATTGTCTTTTTGGGTTGGTTGTTAGAAGAAAACCAATGGTCTATAAAATCTAAAAGCTGATTTTGTGTTCTATGAAATGATGGCCCATCATGTGTAGAAGTAAAATCAGCTGGTCTAGCCATGTGGACAGATCTCCCAATCTCCAGCTTGCCTCCTCTTCTTCTAATGGTGCCTGGCTTGCTGGCCACGAATGGAAAATGTGTGCTGAGCATCTGCAGAGCACTTTGCATATGAGAGATAAGATCTGCTTCCCATTCTTGTCTTTGGGGGTGTGAATTTCTCAAACTGTTTGCTTCTATAGGCTAATCACCTTTAATTTTTCATTTCCTTGTTACAGATGTCTGCCCTGTTGCTCTCAAGGTAATCTAGACAGTCACAGCTGAAAGCTTGAATATTATGCTTTAGACATCAAAGCCTCTCCCTCTACAAAGAAGTATTCTTCTGAACGGTGAATCTTCATGGTAAGTTAGGATTTCTATGGCAATAGGCAAGTCATACTTAATTCTTGAAAGGCTCAAGTCTGGAGTCTCTCCATTCTATTCATCCAGGACATAATATTTACGTATAAAGGAGCCTTTTTCTCTTGTGTGTACACGTATATATTTTTGTTTGACTCCAGCTAAATCATTTTCATTTAATTTCCAGTAAACAAAAAACACGCGAATGGGCACT